TATCAGTCGAAGAAATATGTATTCCGTAGGTAGCTACACTACTTTCACTTTAGCTTTCGTTAAAAAAAATACATGATATTTTTTTCAAAGACACTTACCTATAACCCGTTCACAATACCATAAATAATAAAATTATTCCTCTTTAACTGCTATAACTTTTAGCCACATAACCTTTAAAACTTTAAGTTATTTTTCTGCCGATTTACAATGTATTTGTTTAAATTGTGGAGGTGTGTTCTTTTCAGCCAATCAAAAACTTTACCAGAATTTTGGTAAGCCTCGTTTTGGCGTTACAAACGATATCACGTATCTTTACCAGACCCTCTAGCTGGTCGGAGATTTACGGAGACAGCCGAGGGTCTGGTTGAACGAGACTAGCTCATTCAGAGTTTATGACATTCTCTATCCAGAGTTGTCGTTCCCTCTAGGCTCCCGCATACACCTCTGTCAACGCTCTTTTTATAAGATTCTTGTACAAATTTTAAACGATGGAAATTTGATTATTGTAATGATCGATCAAGATGATAATTCATAATTTATTTTAAATCTATAATCAATCAAAACGACTTATTTTCGAAGTGAACTATTTTGCAGATTAAAAATAAAAATATTAATTAACAAATACTTTTAAGGTGTTATAAATCAAAATAAATAATGTTTCATTATAAGAAATAGGATTAAAAACAATTATTAATACAACTTTTAATCTTTTACAAACTTTTCTAAGAATCTTGTAAAACAAGCGTTGACAGCTCTAGGTGTATGTGGGAGCGTAGCGGGAACGACAACTCTGGATAGAGAATGGGTTTATGTAGCAAAAACGATGTATTTAGAGATACTTAAGCTGTAGAAAGTTAACTGCAAAGTGACATAAATATCCTAAAATGCCATAAAATGTAGGCTATAGAGTTTCATCTGTTGAATAAAATGCTAAAGGAAACAAAATGCATATACATATTTATGACATCTTTTTATTTTCTGTTAGATAAAGGTCTGCACAGTAGAGAATGTATATAAACCAGTTCCATCTTGGTCCCGCAGCTTTGTTGATTTTTACATACCAAATGCATAAGGAGGTTTTTTCTGGTTCCTGATTAAATAGAGTATTTAAAGTATAATCAAAACTGAATTCATATTTTTGGATGTCGTCTGTCCTATAACACACATTGCCGTGTCGAAAAATTGAATACCGCACATTAGTACGGTATGATAATTTGTCAGTACGGTCAGGTGTGTTATAGGACAGTCGACATTCAAAGATATGAATTCAATGCTTATATTTACATTCTAGCGCCCGTCACGAGGTGTTTTATACGTACGAACCGTTTGTGACGTTGTAAGGTTAAATAACGCATGCAAACATTGCGAGGAAAAGAAGTGGCTAATTAATTTAAACAGTTAAACGCACATTTATTGTATTCTTTACGCTTATTTATCAGGGTTATAGTTTTTCATTAAACTGAGATAGAATATTGTACATCTTTGTGTTCCTAGAGTATTGAAAATGAAATGCATATTAAGTCCCTAGTGTATATTTAACGCGTACGCGGGGTGACAAATTTAAAGTTTCATGTAGGAGATTTCAAAGATAATATTTTTTTTCTTCATTACAATGTAGAACTTTAAATAGAAAAAGTAAACTCAGTTTGAAATCTACGAGTAATAGGGACAATAATTTTGGGGGAATGGCGGTATATGAAAGTATCTTCTTCTCTTCTTCTTAAAAGTACTATAGCGCAATGAATTTAGCTATAATACACAAGCAATGAATTTTTTAGATATAAGTCAAATTAATAATACAGGACTTAATTTTTCAAAATATATGTTATACAATGTTTATGTTTCGAATCAAATTACACTAGTTTTAACTTTTAAAAGTATCAAATCTATAGGTAGAGATATAAGCCAAAATCCGTTAAAGTGTTTTTTCTTTCTCTTAGAAAACTTTTGTTTTGTTTTTGTATCATTTTGTATTTTTAAATGACAACTTTACCATATTTGAAAACAAAAAAAATATATATATATTTATATATATAGACATATGAAAATGACATTTTTTTACACATATGAGGGCTAAAATTTGAATAAAAATTCCGTCATTGAGATTTATTCTTAGCATATAATAATGCTTTAATAAATGTTGATTTCAAAGTGTAAAATTGTTTTCAATTTTGAATGAATGATTGGCTTTATAATTAAACTTGGGATGGTGACGCAGAGCACGGCAAATTTTAATTAAAAAGTAACTTATCACTCTATCAATTTCATTATGTTGTAGTTTGTAAAATTCAGCCAAAATTCTTATTATTTTTTACATTATCAGGTTGACAAAAGTTATAACGCCAAACATTGCAAAATTTGAACGTTCAGTGTCACCGTGCTGCTTTTTTATAAAGTCCAAGAAGCTCAAAGCTGATAAGACTGGCGATTGATCCAAATCTGATTGTGACAGACGATTGCATCATCACAATATTAGAGGTAAAAAGAAACACTTGCAATAAAAATCAAAGTGTACATCTGTAATGACTCCTTTATGACAAAATATTTCTTGATAATTTCTTTTTGTTCCTTTGCCATTCTACATTGTTTGCATGGCTTCATCAAAAATAAATTCAACTCAATAATATAGAAGTTGTATTCTACATTATGAAAAAAATTTAATCCAATGCACTTTTAAAATATGGTAAGTATGAATAGAATATGCTGGCTTTAAAAGCTATGAAACTATACAATAACTTCAGGGGTAAATTGAATGTTTGAATTTCAGGAAAAAAATAATAATTAAACAGTGGCAACTTTCAAGGTACACATATGCATGTATATGTGTTGAAAGTACATCAGATAGCTAATCCATTGAATATTTACATCTATGTACTCATTGACATACATTTATATAAAAAAAAATTCCAATACTAATAGAGAACTTAGTTTCAGGTAAAATGTAAGATATTTAAGACTATTGAGAACAAAAAAACTTGTATACTCTCTCTTGTCTATAGTTTAAGTTTTAGTTATGCTTAGAAAATATCTATTCTACTGTGTTAATATTGGTTTTACAGGTCCAATATACAGTCAGCCTCTCATAAGAAAAAATCCAAAGATCCTAGGTTTGTTTCAAAGTTAAGGTAACTACACACTGTTTAACACACTTTGTTATATTCTTCCCAACAAAGTTTGGTATATCCTGGAATCACAAAGTTTGTTTCTATGCCTATCTACTTGTCTGTAATTTTTTTTGTCCAAAAGTAATATATTTGTGTCAGAATCTTCTTAATTTTTGGCAATAATACTATTTGAACATTCCAAATTCAATTGACCAAAAAAAATAGCTTTTTATGATTTTAATATGAAGCATATCTTCCAATAGTGGAATTATCTTGCAAAATTCAATTCAATTGTCAAAATAAGAAAAAATGCTTTTTATAATTTTATCATGAAGCATATCTTCCAAAAGTGTCTTGCAAATTATATCATAGGATTTCACAAAACACCTAGTATAACATATATAACATTAGTTTTATCTCATATTATATCTGTGTCGGTGAATTGGGAATACATTTGTTTGCTGATGATAAGTTACTTTTATATAACTTGTAGAATTGATTTTGTAATTTAAGAATTATTTTATTATTATTTTTGAAATTTTTCTACAGACCATTCTGTGCCACAAAGAAATTGTTCAGGAAAGGGAGAACTGGTGGATTTGCATTTTGGGTACAGTTCAAAGAGATTTTCAAAATGGTCAGATCAGAGGGAGGACTACTGAAAATATTAAAAAATACAGAAGGAAAAAGAACCTGGAAATATATGGAATAATTATGAAATATGGAGAATGTACACAATCTTGTCTGAATTTGACCTGTAAAGATTTCCCATTCTTATTTGTATGCTAGATGTTTTAAAAATAACTTGATTTTTCATAAATTTACAATAGAGAATACATGACAAATGTTATTGCTGATATTTCAATTTTGCTGTGGACACATTCATGTCATATGGTATTTTTATACAAGTACATGACCTAATTATTATTTTATTCATTTTTACATGCATACATGTTTAACTACTTAATCATTTTGCTGAAATCTTATAATTTGTACTCATTTTAGAATATGTTAAATACATGTATCGACAAATGCTACTGACTTGTTTGTATATTTTCTTGTTTAGAATGTACACTGTGAAAAAAAGTTATTTCTCTTGATGAAAATAATTTTATCAAAAAAGTTGTGTAAGCATTATAAGATATTTTAAAATATTTAACCAATGAAGATAGATCATTGTGATGTAATGATTTTTTGCAGAAATATCTAATTTTTAAATGTGTACAAGAATGTGAAAAAAACTGAAAGAGAACACACATAACTGTTTCATATGATTTACATATGTCCCTTTCATATGATTCTCATGTGTAAATTGCTGTAAAAAAAATGCTTGAAACACACTTAAATCATTCATATGCAAATCATATGTAGTTATTTTCATATGATTCACATATGTGGATCATATGTAAATCATATGATTTGCTTCATATAATTCACATATGATGCCCTTTTTCTTTGATTCTCATATGAAACCAATCATATGAGAATCAAATGATACTCATATGAGAATCATATGTGGCAAAGTTGCCTGTGTATGAAAAGGAATATAACAAGCCTAATACAAACAATAGCACACAATAAACTCAAAAACACAGGGGGAATAATAAATCAGTGATGAATGAAATTGATAAATAGTGTCAAGACCTGGAAAGGGAAGTGTCTTGTAATTTATGCTCTTAGCTTTAAAAAAACCCGTTGAAACATTTTTAATTCGATTGTTATTCTACTACATTTCAATATATAAAAATATTTCTTTTCTCTGAACTGGCTTCAAAGGGTTCTTCATAGAAATATATATTCTTTAAAATATGAAAGTAAATACAAAAAGAAAAAAATTAGCTATTTATAGTGCAAAACTTGAACGAAAAATTATTCATGTAAAAGGAAAACCAAAGTTGTACTATTTATTACCTGCTACAGTGATCATGTTATATATTGACTTCACTTTGATTAAGTGTGTAACAATACTGTACAAACAAATGTTGGGAAGACAAGTTAACAGATCGCATATTATATGACATTCCCAAATTTTGCTTTGTTTTCTTTGTATATAAATGTATTAATCTTTATTGTGCACATAATGAGTGCAATCTTTATTTGCATGATTGTGCTAAAATAAAAAAAAAAGAAACTTCAAGTTATTTCAGATTTGAGATAAACATTTAAAATTTGGGAAATAGCTAAGACTTATGATGGAGAGTAAAAAAGTACACATTATTTACTAAATTATACATGGACGCAAGGCCATATCAAAAAGAAAATTATTTTCACTATAATAATTCAACAAAAAAGCATAAAATCCAGAGAATGCAAGAAAGTTACTAATAAAGCATACACATGTGTATATTACAAAGTAAAAGAATCAAATATTGATCAATGTTCAACATGGTCTTGTGGAGTAACAAGTAAGTATTTCTTCATGTTCTTAGCCAATTCTTCTCACTAATGACATGTCACAGAACATACAATACTTTACTCTGTGACCCTTGAAATACTAATCATTTAGCAAGAATAATTGGTATTCAGTGAAAGGAGTGCAAAGAGAAAAGGCTATTTTTTTTAATCCGCGATCATCAAATATTGAAGCACTATGTCTTACTATCTAGCAAACATTCAGTTGGACAAACCTTAAGTCTATAGACTGTGTTTGTCATTAAAGAAGATAACTGAAACTAATTGACCAGAAGTTCAGATCTGAAATCACTGTTTTTTATTCTACAAATTAATCAGCTGAACTTGTTCCTCAGTTTGAGATATTTCATACTGATCCTCTAAGTAATCATCTGCATAAATAAGCGTCTGTCTTATCGCTGTCAATACTACGATATTAATCGGCGTGTTCAGTTGAGTCTCCTTTTCGTAATTCTTTACCGGAAACACGTGACCCCTTGGGAGGCCTATGAGTTCTGCGGTTTTCTCTAGTGCTCTTTTGCAGGCCTCGCTATAGAAGATCATACGTACATCTTTATCAGCTAAAGGGCAGATTTTGTCCAATTTTGTCAGATACGCAACTTGTGGAATGCCTGGTCAATAAAAAAAGTCTTAATAAAGCTACATAAAAATAATAATGTTTTGCAATACATCTGCAAGAGCAACGGAAAAATTAATCATTGATTTTTCTCTTCATCTAAATGCTTATAGAATTTTAAATATAAAAATTGAAAATATCAAAAGGTTTCAAACGCAAAATTTTGAAAATCCAATTAACTTTAAAGGAAAATTGCATTTGTTTAATACCTCTCTCTACCATGAGAGATTGAAATTCCAACATTTTTCGTGGAACGGTTCCTTGCAATACATCAACAGAACTTCCGTCTATAATGAAAGCCGCACAATGAATTTTATCCTTAAATGAGGGTCTGGAATTAAATCCTGGATCCCTTTGGCAGGCATGTGCCATAGGATTAAACTGCAAATTTAAATGTTTTACAAATTTTATTCTGTTTTCATATCCACAAATAAATAGACCTTGTTTGTAGAAGTAAAATTTCCGTGTAGCTGATGATAGAATACCGACCTTGTACTGATCAGATAAATGTCCGTCAAGTAACAGTGCCATATCTTGGTGTTTGATGGACATTTCCTCTTCTATCCCACGAGTATCACAAAGCCGGAAATTAAGATAGCCACCTGTCTCATGATTCCTTATTCTGTATTTACGTAGCTAAAAAATAGAAATGAACATATTAAGTTTCATTCAAATACTTCCAATCGTAAAAGGAATGTTTGTACGTATTTCTAACAACAGGTGGACGTTACATGTACACACGCCCAATATAGTGTATGTGAATCGAAGGAAACACTTGCCGTGGCCTTCATCTCGACATTTAGATATATCAATGACGAATCTTTAATTAATAATATGGATATTTCCATTAAATTCTCATGTCGATACGATATATCCCGGTGATCGTGATATAAAAGGACACCACAGCTTCACACATCTGTTTTATATTTAGACATTTTACTTTAAAATTGGTTAATGATAATCTAACAACCAAGCTTTATGATAAACGTGATGACTTTAACTTTTCAATTGTCAACACCTCTTTCTTATATAGCAATATACTTCTCCCCTACATACGGGGTTTAAATCGAAGAGTATACTCTATGTATGAACAATTTCTAAAACGAGGAAATTATTGAAAATTAAACAAGTTACTGAAACATGAATTCCAGCAGTCTACTTCAATGTCATCATTTCTTAAGTTCTATGGTCGACTTGTCAGCAAATGCAATTTTTCATTGAATAAAATGCTGACTGGCGTTTTTCAAACAAATTGTTAATCCATTATATATGCACTGAATTGACGACGGTTTAAATTTCAGTTAGATCCTCATCATGAAACAGGAACACATGGCGGATGTGAGAAGTCAGCAGGTGATACTCACTCCTCCATGGCACCTGATACCACCTCTAATGTATTTCATGGGTGCATGACTATTGACCAATTGTCTTTCAGAGATAAAAAGTTTAACTAGAAAAGTAAATCCGTCTCGTAATGGAACTAAAAGATATTTTGGATCTACTCTGTAGATATATAACAAAGTATTAAATGGCCAAAAAAAATCTATACAATACAATATAATAAAATTCAGCTGTTACCTTTAACAGGTAAAGCTTTTCGGGATGCAATTTGTATTACAATGTAAATTGAATAGTCTCTAACTTACATTCGCAGTCACACTATGTGGAGAGTTTCCGGCACATGCACGTGCAGTTATTTCACCGCGAAAAATAGAGTTGACTGTGTTGAAGAGACTGGATTTTCCAGAGCCTATCTGTCCTACTAGTAGAATATTAACCTCCGGAATGTTCATGTCTTTCAATGGTTTGTAACTGGAGACAAAATGTTTCAAAATTTGAAAATTCTGAAAAAAAGGAAACAACAGTGCATCATTATTAATGCATGTACAGTTGATTTCAATAGACCTAACGGATTACGCTGTTTGTGACGTGCTAACGCTCTGCTTGTTGAGAAGTTAAGATACTACGTCACATTGTCACCACATCAAATGAAGTAGTCGAGATCGCATCTCTACCTCGCCAAAGTCGGTCAGCTGCAACATACAGCTTGTTTTTTGGGTACACAGTCCCGAATTCGTTTTCTTGAATATTTCCAGTAAAGTTAAATGTCTTTCAAACTTGAATTAATCAATGAAAGCATTTTATGATTTTTTTTGTCCATTTCGAATATTCAAATTGGTCAATTACTTCATTCTATCGCAAAATTTATGTTTTTCATATTTACGTACATCTATAAAAATCAACTGAAGTAGTGCATAAGTAATTGGTCATTGCATTTACATTAGTTACGCATATCAATCTTAGCCATGCATTCTGAAATTGATGCAATTTAGTACAAAATGCTGCTGAAAAATAGAGAAATGGTAAAGAGGAAAGGCCGGGGGAAACGCTCAAATTTTATTGATTAAAAAATGCATATACTGTAAACCAAGTATTATACGCGTGCGATAAATATCCGCGAGTTCCGCGAGTAACCTCTGCTCGCGGATATTTATCGTCGCGAACCAGTTGTTCATTATATTCCCATATCATGATTTATTTAGAGTTATTTGCCCTTTTTTCAATACCGATCCCGACGGTTCAACAAGTAATCACGGGAGAACTTTACTTTAAGTGTACAAGAAGCAGTTGAAATTTAATTACAAACATTCAGAAAAAATAGAAACGAATGGCAAATCTAAAACTATTTGTCTAAAAATGATTAAAATGTCAATAATCATTTCAGCTTGTGTTATTATTGTTCATTTATTGTAAAGGACGAGTCAGAGATAGCCTGGTTAATTACGGCTAATTATGGCCCAGTCCTGCTCTGTCCCAACCATTTATAATAATTGCCCCTTGACTATGTAGATCTTAGAAAGCGTCGATTACCCTATTAGTAAGAGGCACTTTTACAATTGAGAATTTTAAATCAATTTTAATCTCCTAGATTTTTTCCCGATTTTCGTTTGACCGTTGTGAAAATGCGTATGAAGTATACTCATGGTAAACATTTTTCCCACTTAAGGGGCGGATATAAGATTTTAAATGGACGCAATGCACAGAATGTTTTTAATATTGCGTAAGCAGAACTCACGCTACCATTTTACCTAGTTTTTGGGCGGATATAAAATTTTAATTTGATTCAAAAATACTCGTGGAAATAAAAAAAAATGTGACCACTCGTTCGCGGAAATAAATCGTCGCGGATTAGTTCTCTAGCGGTCAGTCGCGAATAAAAAATGACGAGTATAATAATTGGTTTACAGTAATATAAATAATGCTCTTTTCAAATTGTTGAATAAGATTTGTGCTGTCTGTCCCCTTTTGTAAACCGTTTATGTCGGCGATGTGTATTGCAGCTGACCGATTTCATCGTGGGAGAGAAGCGATCTCGTCTACTTCCTTTGATGTGATGGCAATGTGACGTAGTATTTAAACCTCTCGACAAGCAAAGCGTTAGCACGTCACAAACAGCGTAATCCGTTAGGTCTATTGAAATAGCTCTAATTTCAACTAAGTCTTATATCATTTTTATATATTCCAATGCAAAGGTTTTGGTTTTAAAAAATATAGATTTAATAATAAATGATTGAAAATAAAACTCGCATTTTCATCCCAGAGCGGCGGTTCCCTCCATGGCTTTAACGACATTTGTGATTGCGCGGGAACTACGGCGGGTCTCTTAGCTTAAAGAGAAGGAAATAACATTTAACATTTACTAGCTAGCTTTTAGGTTTTAATGACTTAAATTTCATAGGCTTGGTCTGAGTTTTATTAAAATACTAAAAAAGAACAACAGAAAACATGAAGGCTATGAAGGTTACACGTACCTTGCACTGAATAGACTTCTAGATCGAATACACACATGTGACCATTGTTGATTGCTTTCATATTCTCAGATGGCCTTTGGAATGCTAAACCGAATTCAGCTTGACCATTAAGTGTGAAGAAGCGCGTCTGACTTCCACGTTCAATAGACATGTTCACGTCATCATGAAACGTCATCATATCCGCTCTAGATCTCTTCCTCTCGATGCTTGCAGGGGAAAATGCATTTGTTTTTATTCCCTTTAATGCGTACAGTTGATTGTTTGGATTTATCACAGACATGTCAGCCTCACCAAAAGTTGGTCCTAATTTTTGATGTGCATAGGCTGCTTGATTTACATTAATTACGGCAAACTTCCTTGGTCTTTTGACACCGTTAAAGTATAATGTAAAGAGGAATGCATGTCCATCTTTGATGTAACCACCAGTGGACCTCCAAGATTGCGAGAGGAAACCTCCATATGCACTGTTATCAGTGTTGTAAAGAACTGTAATTGTGGGACCTTTCTCATCACAAAGCTGATGAAACCTTGAAGCTGAGCAACCATCATGACTTATTTTGTACAGCAACTCAAAATGACACGTCTTACCAATCCACTGCGACAGCTGGTCCCTGTCCTCTGCAGTTAACAGTTCTGTTGTTCTAATCATGAAAGATATTTATGTATACATTTATTGACACTTTAATTTTTCCTTATTCTTCATTCTGTTCATTCTTAACTTTTTTATAGTAAAAAAAACAAGCATGCCTACAAATCTTCCTCAGGTAACGCATCCACTGTAGTTTAATCGAAATTACGAGTTTTTTTTATTTCTTATGAATCATTTTTAGATGCAAATTGAACTTTCACCTTATTTTATTTATCAACCAGTAGGAAAGGAATTAATAACAAGGAAATATACATGCTTTTTAACAAGAAAGAAAATTGTTCTCGTGTTAACCATCTTCATCCTGAATTGTACTCAAACTATCTTTGCTTCCAAGAATTGTATTCAAACTATAGTGTATCTTTACTTCCATTGCCTTCGAAACAGAAATATCAGACACTTGTTTGTTTGCCTTTCTATAGTGATATGGCAGATGTCTCTTTCCGTAATTAGAGGGTCGTGTGTTCGAATTACGGCTACTACTTACCCATGTCGATAAAAAAAATCAGTCATTGTTCAAAGTCAGTCTATGTTCTTCGCTCGACATTTCAATGTGAATTTTGAGGGCCCTTCGAATGAAACCATAAAATCCCAAGTTCCCAAGTCACTGTTGACTTTGGCCCGATAAACAACCTACTGCTTTATGATCTTGAATACCAAGTAAAGGTTTAAAAAAGCCCTCCACCGATATATGTTGACGTCTTTCTATATGTAAGAGTTCGTGAACGGGACGTAAAACAACAATCAATCAATCAATTCATGCCCTGTTCACACGGAGAGTTTAATTCGAATTAAACGTAAAGTTACTGCGAATTAGCTTCGCTAAGCGTTCACACGGAGAATTTAATGCGAATTAGTTTAATTCGAATTAGTTTACTGCGCATTAAATTACTTCGCATTAGCTCCGTGTGAACGCTAAGCGAAGCTAATTCGAATTAAATTTTGACACATGCGTAAGGCCAGAATTAAGTCACAGGACACGTGTTGGTGGTTATATATAGGTATTTGTGCTATATTTGGTTCAAAAGTTGAGGGAAAGTATTTTAATCACTAAAATCAATGAATACATGTAGCCACTACATGATGCATCAAAGGATGGCTCTGCATACATGACGTGATTTACAAATGACGTCATAATAGACTTACTGATGCCTGACTGTAGAAGAAAAATCTTTATTCGCATTAGTTAACTTCGCATTAGCTGTCGTGTGAACGCAATTTAATTCGCATTAGTTTGATTCGCATTAGTTTACTTCGCATTAATTTACTGCAAATTAAACTTGTCGTGTGAACAGGGCATCAGTGTCGTATCGAGACACCAACGGACGATTTAATCGTTTCAGCATCCATCGTGGCACGGGGCCAAGGTTAAATTGGTCTCATCAGAAGGTCCGTATTCCATGTACCGTGTAAAGGAGGGACTTCTTACACGGTGATTCTTTATTGCAACCAATGACGAGTCATGATCATATTTCGGGAAATTGAAAAAAAAAAAGAAGCAACGTGGTGATTTTTTATGGACAAATTACAATGTGTGTAATTAATTATATTTTGATTAATTTCGCGAATGTTCATTTGTTCACAAACTTGAAAAGCCTATGCCTTTATCCTACAAATAATTATTAATAATAATCCATAAAAAGAAAATGGAAATCTATGTAATTATTAGAAAGTGTCTCACCTGTCCATTTTGCATGTTGTTACGCTTTGTTTTAAGTTTTCTTTTCTTTTCCTTCCTGGAACGCATATACTCCTTTATGTCATCCGATTAAATAATGATGTTTTCAGAAAATCAATGTTTGTATGACTTTTAAAGAATCGTTCGATTTGATCGTATTGTTGACAAAAGATTTAAATGGCTTTATAGGAGTTCTTTATTTAAAAAGGGCAATAAATACGATACTACCTTTGGGACACTTATAGACTAAGGCTTAAAACCATAAACAGAGAATAGAAATATTACCACTTATACGAGCCTGGTCTCGGATAGGTGAGTTTATTTCAGTAAACCTATGTCCCTCCATTCTGGATATCTTAAGTCCTTTCAGATATATAATTATGTTCACCCTTAGTCACAACCTATCATTCCGGATATAGTCTAATATTAAGTCGTTTCTTCCTCTTCCTTTCTCGATGAATCGATAAAACGGTAAGTTCATGGAAAATTTTATGAAGTTGAATTGTGGCAATGTTTAAATTTTTCCCACCCACCTTCTCTTGTTTTTAGAACAAATACTGCTGTTTTTGTCATGTCATTGTAGCTTAAGACTGCCTGCTTGGTCCTGCACCCACAACAGACTATTTTGCAATGGTGATGGTGTGCTCTAATATTCCTTAATGGTGCCCTGCTAGGTCTAGTTTCTTCATCAACTTGTGTTGCATTAGTAAATTCTGTATGATTGCGTTTTCTGCAAAGACTGTCTGCTGGGTACAGCGTCCACATCAACCAACTTCGCGGTGATGAAGTCTCTGTTCAGGGGCGGATCCAGCCATTTTTCAAAAGGGGGGTTCCAGGTTTGTGCCCCTCTACCCACCCACCCCCCACACACACCCTCTCTCAACCGAAGACTTACACACACGTATGGAAAGATCTAATGTTGTGTTAAATAAGATCTTTTACGTCTTTTTTTGAAAAGGTACTGTACCCCCAGTGCGAATAAAAAAAAACACATTTCAAAAACTTCTGAAGCATTAAATCAAATTAATTTGCAGCATTTCCGAAGAGTATAAAAAATTTCTTTTAGAATTTGAAAAAAAACCTTTTTGAAATGGGATTTAAGGGGCCGACTATAGTTTTATTGTGTTAAAACTACAATAGCGAAACTCTTCATTTTTATACCATATATAATTTACATTAACTTCAGTGTACATGCAAAGTTTGGGGAAATTATATCGTCCAGGTATTTTTGAGGGGCCGTCTCAAAATACAGGTACATTTACTATAGGATTATATAGGAAAAGCCAATTTTTAGCACTTTAAAGCAAATTATAAAAATTCTACAATAGACTTTTTGTTCAAACTATAATATTTGATGAGTAATACTATATTATACAATATATGTAAGAAACACAAAATTCTACCGTCTTGTTACCAGAGGGGGCATCTCAAAATGCAAAAAATTAGCAAATTTTACTATTTTTAGAGAGTATTACAAAAATATGACGTACACAATGGATTTGCATGAAAACATGATAAAAATATTGGAGAATTCTCAAATTTCTATATTTTAAACTTCATGAGCGTATGTTTATTACTTTTCCTTTAATAATATTTTCATTACCCCTTTCTTTAAGAGCTACCGGTTATCATAACGTCAAAAACACACTGCAACGACGTCAACCTACCTATCAATTGCAAAATCGGTTTAAAAATAAGTTATATAAAATTGTAATTATATTTTTATACCTATATTTTCTTAATTTTGCTAAATTTTAATAACTAAGCAAAAAAAGTTGCATTAAAACAGTAAATACGCTTCATTTTACTATGATGCGCGAAATATTGCGCAATGGAAACTATAGTCGGCCCCCTTAAACAAAGAGTTACAAGTTAGTTCCTTCAAAATATATATGACCAAAAACGGTAAATATATAGCCAATACAACCACAGATCTCGGGAATCTAATATCAAATTTAACCTCACATGTTACATATCATTTATAAGACATATAAAAATAAGTAGAATATTTTCTACCATTCTCTCGTAAAAAAGTAATATTGAAGGAGAATGGAGGAAACTAATGTGTGAGAATCTATCTATTCAATACATAAGTTAGACGTACTGTACATATATTTATTCTCGGAAAACGTTTTATCAACTCTCTCTATCTCTTTCTTTTTTCTCTCTCTCCCTACTTTTAAAAAAATAAAGGGGGGGTCCAACCCCCGGAACCCCTCTCTGGATAAGCCAATGCTGTTTTACCCATATCGTGATGGCTGCCTGTTGGGTACAGCGTCCACAAGTATCTCTTAGCATTAAATATTAGTAAGTGAATAATTGACATAATATCGTCATTAAAAATTTATTGGATTCATAAATAACTAAAACAAGAAAACATTGACGTAACCATCAATTGTGTTTAAATAAAGTTAGCTACTAGTAACTGGCTACTAGTAGCTGGCTACGACAAGTGGTAAAGTTAGGTACTAGTAGATGGCTACGAGAAGTAAGTAAAGTTGGTTACTAGTAACTGGCTACTAGTAGCTGGCTACGACAAATGGTAAAGTTAGCTACTAGTAGCTGGTTACGATAAGTAAGTACAGTTGGCTATTAGTAACTGCATGGCTACCAGTAACTGACTTGAACATTCTAGTACCTTTTGTATTAAATTATGCTAATTTGGGAGAAATTATCTGGCACTAAAGTTACCAAGATATCGTTATTAATAAACTCAGCTACTAGTACCGTTAAAAGTGTGCAATTTTGGGAGATAAATGTTGTTATTATACAAGTAACTGGATTTTTACACCGCTGATATCCACTGATATTGTTGATAAAAACAATCTCTGAGCTTTTCCACATGATCTGGCACTAAAGTAACCAAGATATCGTTATTAATAAACTCAGCTACTAGTACCTTTTGTTTAAAATTATGCAATTTTTGGAGACAAATGTTGATATTATAGAAGTAGCTGCATTTTGACACCTCTGATATCCACTGATATTGTTGATAAAAACAATCTCTAAGATTTTCCACATGATCTGGCACTAAAGTTACCAAGATATCGTTATTAATAAACTCAGCTACTAGTACCTTTTGTTTAAAATTATGCAATTTTTGGAGACAAATCTTGATATTCCGGAAGTAGCTGGATATTTAAACCGCAGATATCAACTGATATTGTTGATAAAAATAATCTCTAAGATTTTCCACATGATCTGTCAGTAAAGTTACTAAGATATCGTTAGTAATAAACTCAGCTACTAGTACCTTTTGTTTAAAATTATGCAATTTTGGGAGACATATGTTGATATTATAGTGCATTAAAATTATTGTTGTTGATGCAATTTTGGGAGACAAATGTTGATATTATAGAGGTAGCTGCATTTTGACACCTCTGATATCCACTGATATTGTTGATAAAAAATTTCAGCTTTTCCATCTGGCTAAGTAACCAAGATATTTATTAATAAACTCAGCTATGTACCTTTTTTTAAATTTATGCAAATTTTGGCACAAAAGTTGATATTCCAGAGGTAGCTGGATATTTACACCGCTGATATCAACTGATATTGTTGATAAAAACAATCTCTGAGCTTTTCCACATGATCTGGCACTAAAGTTACCAAGATATCGTTATTAATAAACTCAGCTACTAGTACCTTTTGTTTAAAATTATGCAATTTTTGGAGACAAATCTTGATATTCCGGAAGTAGCTGGATATTTACACCGCCGATATCAACTGATATTGTTGATAAAAATAATCTCTAAAGAGTAAAGTTACTATCCACCTTTTGTTTATTATGCAATTTTGTGAGACTGTTGATATTCCAGAAGTAGGTGTCAGTAAACTGATATTGTTGATAAAAACAATCTCTGAGCTTTATCGTTATTGGCATAAACTCACCAAGATATCGTTATTAATAAACTCGGCTACTAGTACCTTTTGTTTAAAATTATGCAAATTTGGGAGACAAAAGTTGATATTCCAGAGGTAGCTGGATATTTACACCGCTGATATCCACTGATATTGTTGATAAAAACAATCTCCGAGCTTTTCCACATGATCTGGCACTAAAGTAACCAAGATATCGTTATTAATAAACTCAGCTACTAGTACCTTTTGTTTAAAATGATGCAATTTTTGGAGACAAATCTTGATATTCCGGAAGTAGCTGGATATTTAAACCGCAGATATCAACTGATATTGTTGATAAAAATAATCTCAAAGACTATCCACATAATCTGTCAGTAAAGTTACTAAGATATCGTTATTAATAAACTCGGCTACTAGTACCTTTTGTTTAAAATTATGCAAATTTGGGAGACAAATGTTGATATTCCAGAAGTAGGTGGATATTTACACCGCTGATATCAACTGATATTGTTGATAAAAACAATTTCTGAGCTTTTCCACATGATCTGGCACTAAAGTCACCAAGATATCGTTATCAATAAACTCAGCTACTAGTACCTTTTGTTTAAAATTATGCAATTTTGGGAGACAAATGTTGATATTCATAGAAGTAGCTGCATATTTACACCGCTGATATCAACTGATATTGTTGATAAAACAATCTCTGATCTTTTCACATGATTTGGCACTAAAGTAACCAAGATATCGTTATTAATAAACTCAGCTACTAGTACCTTTTGTTTAAAATTATGCAATTTTGGAAGACAAATGTTGATATTATAGAGGTAGCTGCATTTTGACACCCCTGATATCCACTGATATTGTTGATAAAAACAATCTCTGATTTTTTCCACATGATCTGTCAGTAAAGTTACTTAGATATCGTTATTAATAAACTCAGCTACTAGTACCTTTTGTTAAAAATTATGCAAGTTTGGGAGACAAATGTTGATATTATAGAGGTAGCTGCATTTTGACACCGCTGATATCCACTGATATTGTTGATAAAAACAATCTCTGAACTTTTTCACATGATCTGGCACTAAAGTTACCAAGATATCGTTATTAATAAACTCAGCTACTAGTACCTTTTGTTTAAAATGATGCAATTTTGGGAGACAAATGTTGATACTATAGAGGTAGCTGCATTTTGACACCTCTGATATCCACGGA